TGGACTAATGAAAGTGCACAGAGAAATTCGCAATGGACTTGTCAGCACCATTGTTTTTTGTTGTAATATGTGCAACTTTCAAACAAAATGTCGTACACAGAAAGGTAAATATTAGCTATACTGAAATATTATCCCTATATGTAATCTGTGCAATATAAAAGGTGCTGAAGAAATCCGGCTTCAATTAAATTATGCCTGTGTTTGGGCCATATTTAGTGGAGGTACTACATTTAAAACAATGACCGAATTTCTAAGTATCATGAACATACCACCATTGTCATATCGAATGTACTGTGCAAAACCACATAATGGAAGATAAATAACTTGATAATTAGTGGACTGTATAATTAGGTGGACTGGATGATCGACTGGATAGGGAACTAAAACACACGCGCTTTTCACTGACACTATATTTACAACAATTTACACAATATTTACACTATTTACAATTACTACTACAAGATGACAAGAAGCCAGAGCTTGCTTAGATGCCCAACAGGGCAGAGCTAGATTATAAAATTTATTAAAATGTGAAAAGGTTTCTGGATGCTTGTTAACGTGGACAAGCTCCAAGCTACACTGCTGCAATGACAAAAATGGCGCGCAATATATTGACAGACATGACAAAATAGACATGACGACAACGCTGCAGTGTTGCAAACTTTATATGTATAAAAATATTTTGCCATCAAAAAGAGATAGCATGATTGTTGGAACATGTTTCCAACATGCTGGGGGGCCTAGAGTTTCACATGAAACCAAGGTAAAATTTTTCAGCAAAAAAAATAAAAAAATTAAAGAGAAAGTAAGCAACCCTTTTTTTTAAAAAAAGGTATGATTTCAATGATGATCCAGTAAACGAAAACTTAACTAACAATTAAAGCTAAAAACATTTCTGGAACACATAGTATGACATTATGTATGTATATACGAGTATAGCTAATTGAATATAAATATAAATCTAAATGTTTTACAAATATATGTACAGAATTTTGTGAATAATTTTCAAAAATATTATTAACAATTATTGTCATCAATCGGTAACACTGCAATCTTGGTAACCGATCTGAGATAAATACCTTTTTTGGTTTTCACTTCGACAACCCTTACTTTGCCGTCCTTTCCAGGTATTGCTTTAACTATTCTTGCCATTGGCCACTTATAAGAAGGTACATTATCCTCTTTTAAAATGACTAACAAGCCCTCCCTAAGGTTAGGCATCTCATCACGCCATTTTGGCCTATTTTGGAGTTGCGTTAGATAGTCGTGATACCACTTTTTCCAAAAATGCTGCTGCATCTGGACACACAATTTCCAAAACTTAAGTCGACCTTGGGGAATTTCCGTCAAATCAGGGTCAGGAAAGCTTGTGATAGGCGCACCTATCAAAAAATGACCAGGGGTCAAATAGTCCAAATCTGAAGGATCTTGTGACAAGGCTACAAGTGGTCGGGAATTTAAAATTCCTTCTACTTGGACAATAAGAGTATTAAATTGTTCATAGGTAAGCTCATTGCTACCTATGACTCGCTTGATGTGAAATTTTGCCGATTTTACTCCAGCTTCCCATAAACCACCAAAAACTGGAGAATAGCTCGGTATAAAATTAAATGTAATTTTTTCCATCAAAGGTAGGTATCTCGATTGGGGGCAATTTAGCAGCAGAAATAAAATTATTACTTTGAGTAGGTGGAATTGAAACCGATTGAGCAATATTAGTTGCTAAATTACTAGTATTAGCTGGTCCTGGTAAATTAGATTTAGGTAAACAATTTTTAATACTTACAATGACATCATAAAAAAGAGTTTCTACATCATCAATTGAATCATCATAGTTACCATCAAGGCACAGAATTTCAACTTGAATGTCTTTAAGCTTTTGAAAACTGTCCTGCAATATTTCCTTCCGAACTAAAAATTGGTCGGTTTTATACTCACTGTCAGGATCAGATTTGTGATCGGAAATATAACGACTTATTCTAACCATGGAGTCGATTGCTTGCTTTTTCTTTGACAATAATTTATCAATTTGCTTTTTGGTAGCCATATTTACAAAGTTTACAATCAAAAAAATAAGAAAATATCAAAAGAAATCTATAAACAAAATTTAAAATTACCTAATAAATTAGATTTTTTTTTTTAAAAACTACTTAACAAAACGAAAAACGGATAATTGTTCATCCTTTAAATAAATAATGAAAAAATAGCAATAATTAATGCGAAAAATTCAGTTTTTCAAAAATAATGCAAATTCACTCAAATTCACTGCAAAAATCCAAAATACACAAACAACAAACAACAAAACGTAAACAAATGTTTGACATTTAATTTGAGGTTAAGCTGTCGGGGTGGTGAACTCTCACTTTCATGTTCGTTGCTCCGGGGCTGTACTTCATTGCACCAAGCAAGGATACTGCACCCGGGGTGACTTGGGTTGAACCAGACGAGAAAAAGAAGCACCCTTTTGAATTTGACAAGTGAAGTTTGTTTGCTCCGCCCCACTCTACTTACGCACTTCCGGTTCCGGCGGAAACCTTCGCTGGTGGCACGTGGAACCCAACGTTGTTTGAGACACGTGCAGACTGCACAGTGGATGATTGATTTTTTGCATCACATGGCGCCAAAAATCACGATGGAACAATCAATAACCACTAAAAAGGCACTTTTTGAGGGTTTTTAAAGCACTTTTAGGTTCCGAACTATCCAGTATCCGGCTCGAACTGGCCAAAATTATGTGCAAAACCACATAATGGAAGATAAATAACTTGATAATTAGTGGACTGTATAATTAGGTGGACTGGATGATCGACTGGATAGGGAACTAAAAACACACGCGCTTTTCACTGACACTATATTTACAACAATTTACACAATATTTACACTATTTACAATTACTACTACAAGATGACAAGAAGCCAGAGCTTGCTTAGATGCCCAACAGGGCAGAGCTAGATTATAAAATTTATTAAAATGTGAAAAGGTTTCTGGATGCTTGTTAACGTGGACAAGCTCCAAGCTACACTGCTGCAATGACAAAAATGGCGCGCAATATATTGACAGACATGACAAAATAGACATGACGACAACGCTGCAGTGTTGCAAACTTTATATGTATAAAAATATTTTGCCATCAAAAAGAGATAGCATGATTGTTGGAACATGTTTCCAACATGTACCACAAATTGGAACTGAAACTTGCCAACGATTGGAAAAAAACCCTTTGGGACAGCATGGAAGAGGCTGGCAAGGAAGAATATGACAATGCTGTGGCCACCAATGCCCTAGATGTGGACGGAGTTCCGTGGATCACTGTGTATCTAGATGGCGGATGGAGCCACAGATCGTATGGTAATAATTATAATGCAGCTTCGGGGGTCGTGAGTATCAATCTAATGACTTTGTTTTTTCAATCTTTTGTATAATAATAATACTATCTGTATCAAAGACTATATCTTTATTTTGGTTCAACAAACTTATTTGTTTCATATCTTTTTTCAGGCTGTAATAATTGGAAAGCACACCGGCAAAATATTATTTCTTGGTGTCAGAAATAAATACTGCTGTGTTTGCGCAAAAGCAGAGAAAAAAGGTGAGGAACCCCATGAGCACCTTTGCTTCAAAAATTGGAATGGGTCATCCGGGGCTATGGAGGCAGACATTATTAGTGAAGGATTTCGCGAGAGCATCAAGATGCATGGTTTAAAATATTTGCATTTCATTGCTGATGGGGACAGCAGTGTACATGCAAAAATTCAGCAAACCGTTCCTTATGGAAATGAAGTGAGGAAAATAGCTTACAAAAACCATATTATCAAAAACTATGGAACTGTGCTATACAAATTAAAAAACGATACCACCATTGCTGCTGCTGGTCGAAAATATTTGACGGTGAATGCCATAAAGGATCTTGAAAATATAGCTACAAAAGCTATATATATCAACGCACATGGAGATGTCGACAATTTAAAAACTGATTTGGAAAACAGGCCTTATCATGTTTTTGGAAATCACCTCATGTAATCCTTTATATTGTCAATGTATTGGGGATTTCAGCAATAAAGTGGCAGAAATGGAGATTGCTGGCATTTTCAATCGGATAACAACCGTGCTTCAGCGAATTGTGGTAAGCCAGGGCCACAAATTGATTGATAATGAAACAAACAATCGAGCTGAGATGTTTATGTCCTTGCTTTGCAAATTTAACGCAGGCAAACGGTTGAATACCATCCAAAAAGGCTCCTTGCAAACAAGAGCCTATTTGTCTGGACTTCGGTACAATAAAGGTGCAGATTGGCAAAGCTCCACTTGGCTGGACTCGAGGCCAACGGTGCCAGGTACTGCCTTTCAATCGTTTGTGAGAAAATGCAAAAAGCGACGTGAATATGACAGTGCACGTAGAGCGCAGATTCCAGGAAATCCTAAAAAAAAACCTCCTAATAAGAAAGTTTCGAAAGAAGCAGCAGGATATGGGCCAAATGCCGCACAAGCTTCTCTCACAGAGGAAGAGTTTCAGTCTTAAAAAGTAGGCTTTTGAATAGACTGAAAGTATGTTTATCTCCAGGTGTATCTGTAATTATTATTCTGAGTAATTTTTGTTTTTAGGTACTGCCGAACGACATATCCATCGTAGAGCAGCAAACCATTGGCCAGTGGGAAAATAGGCTTCACCAACTTCACCGAAAGGACCGCCTTACAGCATCCAATTTTGGTGAAGTCTGCCGAAGAAGGCAATCCACTGCTCCTGACAAGTTGGTTAAAAGGATTATAAATCCCACCAATATCAGAACTGTCGCCATGGACTATGGCAAAGTCCAAGAAGCTGTGGCGCGGGAAAGATTTGCCAAGGAGAGGCAGGCTACAGTTCGGGAGTGTGGACTGTTTATTGATCCCACTTATAATTATCTTGCTGCAACCCCTGATGGTAAGTTGAAATAATGTTACGTTGCTTTGTATGTGTATGCACATACATATTTATTTGACTAATACATAATTTTTCTTAGCACTGGTGAATTTGAATGGTATTATGGAGATTAAATGCTTACACAAGGTCCACAAATCTGGCAAAACTTTTGAAGAGGCAGTTTTAACAGATAGGACTTTGTGTGTGGAAAACTATGTCTCAGAAACAGGAAGAGAACAACTGAGATTGAAAAGAAAACACCACTATTATTACCAAGTACGTTATCATTGCAATATAAGCTTTTTATTGGTTAATTTTTGAGTATGACTTTTTTAGGTCCAGGGACAACTCAACATCTGCAAAAAAGATATTTGCTTTTTTGTGGTTTATATAAATGATGAGCAACCCTTGTATGTTGATGCCATCCTACGGGATGAACAGTTTTGGAATGAGGAAATGTTACCAAAACTGACCAACTTTTACCAGGAACATATGATTCCAGAATTGGTGAAAAAGTACTCTTCCAAATAATATTAATCATTTATATATTATAAGGTAGAGAAATACCCTATTTCTAAATTAGGTATTTTCTAAATTACTATTTTTTTTTGTAGTTCCCTGTTGACTTTATTTTTTCTCCATTTGCCTAATTTATTTTACCAAAATCCTGTGCAAGGAACTCATTCCATTTAAACATGAGGTAAAAAAAAATTAAATTGTGACTGACTGGAACATTTTATAGTGAAATTATACTTTCTTCCAGTTTCCCATTCCACTCATTTGTTTTATGAAACCCATGCATTTTTCTCTTCCATGAAAGAAATTACTTGAAATTGTAACTGGAACATTTTATAGTGAAATTAGTCTTTTTTCCAGTTTCCCATTCGACTCATTTATTTTATCAAAGCCATGTGTTTGTCTCTTCCAAGCAAGAAACTTATGGAATTTTTATACGAGGTAAGAAATAACTTAGATTTGTCTTCAGGTATATAATTTTTAGGTTCCTTCTTTGTTACAGGTACCTAACACTTACCAGAAAATCAAAAAGGAGAACGGAATTTTATCTTCGTTCATGCCACTTTTTTTAGAAAGGAATGTTTCGCTTACTATGGATACATTTATAAACCGTTTTTTTTACTCGCCTCTTTACAGGCTGAAATGTACGAGGTGTATATAAATGCAAGTAATCCTTTTTGAGCAAGATTATGGAGGGATTTGTATTTCCATGCCTGGTATGACTTCAAATTTTGTTCGACTCTGTAAAAGTGATGTTTTGTTGTAGAGCTTGTTTTTGAGGTATGTTTAGTTGTGGTAGGTACCTATGAGATTTTCAGGAAGCAATTGGCACATGAATGGGTTAACAAATAGAGGAATACTCGGAGGAATAATAAAAAAATAGTCCTACCAGGAGTCTTACACAATTTCAGATATTGGTAAAAGATCCAAGAGCTAGTAAAAGAAATGCAAATCGCCAGATACCTAAATGGAATGCTCTACTGCATTGGTGGATATTATTATTGCACAAATATGCAAGAACACAAAGGGAAAAACTCTAATTTTAGCACTTTCCACCTTTTGTAAATGAATTTTAATAATTATTATTGAAGCTTTTTATTTTTTCAAAGACATTTTGTCCTACAAAACACGATCCAATTTTTTTATGTATACCTACGTGGTACGTAAAATAGATACTCTATTTATTTTCAATGGAAACTAATGGTACAGCATGCTTTGTGCCTATTATTTTATAAACCAATAATAAAAAACAAAACAAATACACGAGGTGAGAAGGATGTTCTGTTGTCAATAGGCTTTTTTGGAAACGCTGAACAACCTACATCAGCTGCTGCCCCAACGGTTCGGGTTTTTCGAAAACGCCTAATTATGACATCACGAATTGACTGGTGGCGCCATCTTCGAAAAAAAGCCTGAACTATATTTGCCAAAAATATCTGTAATTTTATTCCAAAATCGGTTTTAGACTACAAAAAAAAACGGCACATCAGAATTTGCTGAAATTTGGCATAAACATTCTTTGATCGATTATCTAGAGAATAGTGCTCTTATTTTTTCGATTTTTACCGTGGATTTTTCTATTTTTGGGAAATAGTTCATTTTCACAATATAGGCCAAAAAAAAATTAGAAATATGGAAAATCTAACTGCACTATTCTCTAGATAATCGATCAAGGAATGTTTATGCCAAATTTCAGCAAATTCTGATGTGCGTTTTTTTTTTTGTAGTCTAAAACCGATTTCTGTATTTTGTATCGTGTGCATGGGAGCGATGTTGTACCCTTAATGAGAGATTTTCATAAATCAAAAATTTAAATTTTTTGTTAAAAAATGTCAAAACACCAGTTTTCGCACCAGTTACTATGCAATTATCTGATAATTTGCACTAGTGCAAATTATCGCGTAATTACAATCTGATTGGTTCAAATCAACAATCAAAACATGTCAGTTCATTGTTGGAATACCAGTTTTGACCGATGTATGAAATTCTCATTTGAAATTCCCAATAGATGGTCAGTATATACTTAAATTATGCTTAATACATGATACGTTGCTTCTTGTAATTTTGCAATACTTAAAACTCCACTAGGCGTGTTTTAAAATGTAATTTTTTTGATTAGATCTTCTTGAGGGTTTTATATACCGGAACAAACCCTATATCCAGTTTCATATAGTGTCCCGTTTTTTATTTCATTTTTTTTTACTGGGTTTTCAGTTTTCCTCTCCCAAGAGGGCAATTTAATTTACCTAATTCAGTAAGTATTATATTCTGACGAAAAATCCCTGGCCCGTTACAGACGCATTCAGCCATATTTTTCTTAGAGGGTTTGTAATTTTTTATACGTCCTCCATCCTCTTCTATCGTCGCAATTCTCTGATGAGAGATTTATTTTACTCATGGACTTTTGTATGCGGTCTTCTGCCATTCCAGTTTTGATCTTCCTCGTTTTCTTCTACCTGTTGGTTGGTTCTGGGCCACCTGGTATTTGGCATTCGTTCTACGTGTCCATACCAGGTAAGTTGTTTACTTTCAATGTCCTGAACTATCGTGCCTTTTATTCCCATTTGTTGTTTTATATTGTCGTTCCTTGTTCTCTCTCTTCGTGAGATTCGCATGGATCTTCTAATAGCATCCATTTCAACTGCTTCCACTTTCTTTTTTTGTCTGTAAGTAGTTCTTCAAGTCTCCGCTCTATATAGAAGGCTGCTATTTGTCATTGTCTCGTATATATTGAATTTTTTCTTCTTTGTTATTTCCTTGCTCCCTAAGATTCCATTTAGGCATCCAATCGCTTTTTTTAGCTTCAACTCTTTGCTTTTCTATTTCTTTCACATCTGTTCCAGTGTTGTCGAATATACCTATATCGAGACCTAGATACTCATAATCTTGACATTGCAAAATTTTCTGACCATCGTCCACTTCCAAGTTTCCGTTTTGGGTGCCTACACATACATAGTTTGTTTTATTTATATTAACTCTCAGGCCCCATTCTTGGTACTCTTCTATCAGCTTTCTAATCATATATTGCATGTCCTCTTTGTCACTGGCCACTATGACCTGATCATCTGTAAACTGAAGACTGAACAGGCTCCTATCATCTATCTCTATACCCATTTTATGGATCTTCCTTTTCCAATTTTGAGAAGCGTAATCCTTTATTCATTATAAATGTGTTTGAGTTTTTTACCTATTTTAATTCTTGCGAGTCTTTATAATATAGTTCTTCAAGTGCCGTTATATAGGTGTGATTGATGCTGGATTGTTCTAATACCTTCCATAGTCTGGATACTGGGACTGTATTGTATGCTTTTTGTAGGTCCACAAATGAGAGGTGGGTTTCCATATGTTTAGCAGATATCTTTTTTATTTTAGGCAAAATACGTTGTCTGTATATGATCTTCGTACTCTAAAGCCGCACTGTTCTTCTTCTTCTTTTTTGTCTTGACAATCTTCTTCAATGAGATCACGCAGGATTCTACCGTATAGTCTGCTTAGTGTGCTTGTGACTGATATGCCCCGATAGTTATTGCAGTCCATCTTATTTCCTTTTATGTGAATGGATGATATAAAAGCCGTTTTCCAGTCTTGTGGAACAGGATGTTCAATTAGGCATTTACTGATAATACATGTGAGAACTTTAAATAGCTTCTCAGTTCCTCATTTCAGCATTTCGGGTTATATCTCTTCTGGGTCTATAGCTTTACCTGACTTAAGATTCTTAACAGTCTTTTTTAATGTTTATTCAAATATCTTAACTACTTCTCCATGTACTTCAATAGGTCTTGGAGAATCTAATATACAGTGAGTTCATAAAGTCCCGCATAAATCATTATTTTGAAAACGGTAGAATTTTTGGAAAATCGCTCAGACACGTCGATTTTGTTTTTTTGTTTGAAATTTTTCGATATATTTTTTATCATACAGGGTATCTCAAAAATAGCTTCGCTGGTATCAATTTTATTTTTTTAAATGGAGCCTCCTGTATAATATGACATTTCTGGATTCTGCGAAAAATTCTAGACGTATTTTATGTACAATGTTACATACCTATCTTCAACTGTTTCGGAAAATTGACAGTTGAAAATTGACATTGTTGCAACTTTTACAGGCTGTAAAACCTAAACGATTAATTTTACAGCAAATCCGATTTCGAAGATGTTGTCAAATGAAAAACTAAGACAAGAATGTATGATCGGTTTTGCTGTAAAATCAACCGTTCAGGTTTTACAGTCTTTCAAAGATGCAAAAAAGTCAATATTCAACTGTCAATATTTCCGAAAAAGTTGAAAATAGGTATATGACATTGTACATGAAATATGTCTAGAATTTTCCGCAGAATCAAGAAATGCCATAATATACAGGGGGTACCATTTAAAAAAATAAAGTTGTTACCAGCGAAGCTATTTTTGAGACACCCTGTATAATAAAGAATATATCGAAAAAAATTAACAAAAAAATGACATATCTGAGCGATTTTTCAAAAATTCAACCGTTTTCAAAATAATGAATTTATGCGGAACTTTATGAACTCACTGTATATTCCAGTCTACTTTTTTGTAATAGACCCTTGTAGTGTTCTATCTATTGCTTGGGTTTGATAACCTGGATATTAGCTCTGTCCTTTCCTGGGTTTTTGACATATGAAATAAATCTCCATACCTCTGATCATTTCCTTCCTCCTATGTAGGTGTTAATTTCTTCACATTTCTTATCCCATGACTCGTTCTTAGCTATAGTGGTGCACGTTCTTAGTTGTCTTTTTTTGTGTCTATAAACTTCAAGGTCTTGTTGTTAGCCATTTCAGATATTTTTGCTTCTTCTTTTGAACTAATAGCTCTATTTCCTCGTTCCACCAGTATTACTTGTTGGTATTTTTTCTTCATTCCTATTGCTTCTTGAGTAGCTTCTATTAGACTCCTCATAATGTTCTCATAGAGTTTGTTGAAGGTACATTCTTTAGGGTTCAATAGTTTGCTGTCGAGTCGCCTCTG